TTTCTTATTCATACTTCATATGTTATATGTGCGGGAGTGTAGGTCAGGGTTAGCACTGAGGGCATCCTTGCTTAAATTATCACACCATATGATATGAATTTTCGATTTAGTGATGCGAAGCTCACAAAGTAAAGATTATAATCAGAGTAACTCATAGGTGGCATTGGCAAAACTACGATACTGTGCCTCGGTGCTCGATCGCAAGACAGTGGGCTGTTTCTTTGAGCTTCAAGTCACTAGACTTGTTATGCATCTTCCTACGAGGCTCCTATTATTGGCCACGTGACAGTCAACTAGGAAATGGGAAGGAGAATACACTATTGAAATTGGAGGATGTCGACAAAGAATGAAAAGAAACTTATAATGATGATGATGACCCCTTAAAGGTCATATTAGTAATGGTGATATAAGAAATTTTTTTAGTAATAGGTTATAATTTTGATTCCATGATTACTAATTTGAGAACTTATTATTTTCTATTTTCTACATCTATTTATGTTTGTCTTTTAATTTTGTAAATTAGTTTTATTATGGATTTTTTTAAAGGGTTATGGTATGTTATGTACTTACTTTTGTACCTTTATATTCTTTTAAATTTTTTTATTGTTCTATCTTGAGGCTTCCTCCTCACCACATGGAGAAAAAACACCTCAGTGCATGATTATTCCTTTTTCAAACATTGAAATTCAAAGAATACTTCGTTGTCTTTTGCAAATTGGCTAGCACTGATAAGATTTTTGATAATTTTTGGAACATGCAATAAGTTTGATTAAGTACAAACTCAAGGTGAATTAGGCTAACGAATGAAGTAGAGCCAACATGGGAATTATTTAGACATGTACCATTACGCATAACAATTTTGCTAGCATTGTTGTCATTTGGTTAGCATCCTTGGCTCCTTGGAGGGTCTGAACTGTGGGTTAGTTGTTGCTGAAACCAGAGAAGTTTGGGTCGAAGAGGTGATAACATTTCTGCGATATGACTGATCTCCCATGGGGCTGAAATTGGGGCCTCGAGTTGTTATCTTATTATTCTTCTGTACAGAAATATATATAGCTACAAAACAAATCATCAAACCTCTAGGAAGACGCCAGCTGTCATAACAGAATGCTGCAATCCAAAATACAAATTCTGTGACGTGTACAAAATGATAAAAAAATAGAATGTTCCATATTTACAATTACTATCTACTGATTAATCAAAAATTTGTTAAGCCAATAACTATTATAACATATCTGAACCAAAAAAGTATTGAAGGTTACTGTTTTTCAGCCACTATTATATCTTAAAAGTAAGAAATGATTTTATTGCTAAATCAAGCCTTCTCTTTTATATGAATGAACTTCATCCTTATGTGTTATGTTTAGCAAGTTAAGAGTACGTCTTTTACAATTAATATTCTAAGCCTTTGAAGTGGCTTTGGTCGGAAAAATTGAATATTTAGAAGAGGACAGCAAAATGGCACTAAGGCGCATGCTTGGATTTTCGGATGGGGAACTTATGAGGTCAGATGCAAAACCTTGCTCCAGATTGACGAGGCAAACTGCTGGCATTTTTAGTGTTGGAGGGGCATTAGGATTTTGGATCCTCTGCCGCTTGCATTATGGTATGTTTTGTACTGTCATCTCTCAAATTTCCCCTTTCTGCCCTCTTTTATGCCCATCTATTGTGCTTGTTTCTTGAGTTCTGCACACAATTGGGAGAAAGTTTGAGTACCAATTCTATTTTCCTATTTGTAATTTTCTTCATTTCTTTTAATATTCTTATTGCTAAAAGCTTTGGTTATCAGAAAATTTACATACATTAATGAGCTTCCAATTGCACACACTTGTGAGAACAGAAGTTTATAAATGTAGATTTTAGCTTGATCAATACGGGTATCAAAGTTTATAAAGATACTAATGTGATGTGTATCTGTTTATAAAGAGATGGCATGATGTTATCAAACTGGAATATAAGTTTCTCTAGCACTGGACAATTTGTCATTTGATACAATGGTATAAAAACTTCCCTTCCTTTACTACAATGACTCTAATTTCGTATGGTTTATTTTTTATTTTTTTTCCCATAGGTAAGAACCTCAATAGATAGGGGAATGCATGCATCAATCCTTCCAAAATATAGTGATGGAAATGACAGTTCTATAACAAGACGAAATTTTATTCCCCTATTCACACTTGAAACCTGAAGTGAAATTAGAAAGTGTCAAATGATAGTATACAGAGTAGAGAGTTTTATGATTTAGGAAGGGTGCTACATTGATAAGAAAAAGAAAGCAAAGAGAAATATGTATAAATATTAACATACATATAAAAATAAGAAAGTTAAAACAACTCTATGTTGGATACATTCTTGATGCTGCAGGATTGTAACTATAATATTGTGTTAATCTTCAGTAGATAAGTGAAGCAAAAACTTGATTGTCACTATCTCTCACTGTACTATTGGTTCAAAATAGAAATAGAATATTCAATAGCTCACTGTGGATCATTTCCCCAGGGACAAAATAATTTCTATCAAGTTTTATTGTTGTTTGGAAATGATTGTTGTTCCTTTGTGAAGTTTGAAGGGGAACGGTCTGCCTGTAAATATAACATAGGTCAAAATACAGTGTTAATGGATGACAAAAGTGGTATACTTATATGAATAGTGCTACTTGTACATAATAGAGTTACATAATAACTTACATACAGATGAGCCGTCAAAAAAAGAGTGGAGGAATTTATTTATTTTTTTATTTGGTTGATAAAATTCTAAACCAATCATATCTCAACACATCGTGTGTATGTAAATCATTGTGCACATGTAGCACAATCGTACTTAGATACGTGGCTTTGGCATTGATGAGTCTCTTTGCAGACTAGTTCAATCATGAATTAGGATTGTGAAGTATTGCTTTCAGATTCTCAAAAAAAGAGTAGGAACTTCTTCTTGCAGCAGTCTCCCCTACATGAACAAACCTTATTTAAATATTCACCTCCTGCTAAAATATTTAAAGAGATTGAACAAATAAATTTAACTGTTCAAAAGTGCAAAATATGCCCAGATTCTTGCCTAAGATTCTCCGTGAATATTGTTTTCATTTTTAACGTAAAATATATGGCTGAATGCATTAATATTTCAAGAATTGATTTCTTCTTCCTTTATGCACCACAGAAGTTTAATCATCTGGTCTTGATGGATGCAGGTCCTAGAATCACAGTTCCTCGAAGCCTTAGGTGGGCTGCTTGTGGTGCTGCCTCGACTAGTGCAACCACAGCTTTACTGGTTCGCCTGTTTAGTCCTGAATGTGAACCGCAAAATATAGCTGCGTATGACAAGAAGCAGCAGTAAAGGTTATAACTAAAACTTTGTCATGTACTCCATATACTATGGGCTTTTTTTTTTTTTGGATCAATGTTATCGGAAGATTCATCCGCTGAGTTGTTGTTATAATCTTTAAAACCATTCGTATTGTTTGTGCTATTGATCTTATGGATCTCTCAATGCAAATATGTGTTAATTCTTGATTCTTAGCAGCAGTCTAGAAGACGATGCACTGTTTTTAGTTTGTACTACTTATTCTTCATGGAAGTTTTATGGTTGTAATTAATTCTTTATTTTTTTCTTCTTTTCTTTTTGTTTTATATAAAGATGACAAATTCGTCATTTTGCAAAACTTCATCAAGAAAATGGAAGAAAAAATTGTATTCCGCAAAATTTGAGCCATAAGGGAGACATCAAATGAAAGGATATGGGGTATTTTACAATAGAGGCAAAATTCAAGGAGGAATTGTGCCAATTACCCAAAATAAAATAAACATATTCGGTCAATGTGGGAAAAAGGGCCACCCTACAAAAATATTTTAATCATCATATTGCCTTGTCCACAATCCAGAAATCCAAAAACCCTCATGGAGAAATTTGGGAGGTTTATGACAATTTACCCAAAATTTCATCAAACAGATTCTCTGTCCACAAAACTGTTTATTACAAATTACACCAAAGTTTCTTTTGAACTAAATATATTATTTTATTTGTACCATATTCCATGGTTGACTAGAATGAAAGCTCATTCTACCGAAGCTCATTCTACCAAAACAAAGTTTTGGAAGCAAGGGGACATCGGATTCAATCATGTTACATGTACATATTTTTTACATCATTTTTTATACTTTGTCACGTGACAATACACTATTGAACAATTTCAGAATTGGACAGTTTTTTCACCCAATAATTGTTGACAGCACTTGTAATGTCAACAACGATGTACAAAAAAAAGTGTACAAATGGCATTGTCCCCGACATATTTGAATTTCAAAAGTAAATAGTATCAGAAAATGTTGGCTATATTTTTTCAATAATTCTTAAATTCAAGTTTTCTTTGATCTTAAAATAAATCGAAAGAAATTAAAATATGGACTATTATAAGGAAATTTATAAATTTACTGCATTACCATTTTACTTGTAAAAGGTTAATTATGAAATAATGAAAATAAATTTCTATTTTATTAATCTCTTTTTTTTTATAATTAAATTAAATTTGAATTTGGGTAAGGGACAATGCTAAATCGTCCTATCAGGTTACTGCAAGTAAGCATAAAAATCCCTTGCCTTAGCTTTTGATTGGCTTTTAAATTAAAAAAAAAAAATTACATAAACAAATAGAAGAAAATGTCAAAATCTTATCTCACAAATCTTTTATAATAAGTAAAAAAGGGACATAATTAGGAAACTATGTGCATGCAAATAACGTAAAGAACAGATAGACTGATTCGAGTTTAACTCGGATTTCAACCTGGATTCAGTCATTTTATGACTGTGATTCCTATTCCTACCAAGAATGTACTTGCTATTTCCTATAAAGAGGACACACAATTCATCTTAAACCCTAATTAATTTCTCATATACTTTTGCGTTTTTTCTTATATATTCGCTTTCAAGTTCTTGCTTTCACTGTTAAGAAAATTCATCATAAATCCGACTTTTTCCTATATTCCGTTTCAATTTCATACCAAAAAATGGGTGATAACTGGAAGAAAACTCAATTTCTTGGTGCAGGCTCGTATGCGACCATATATCTAGCAAGAAAGGTCGATTCTCCTCTTTCCGATTCCATCCCCGTCGCCGTTAAATCCGCCCCTTGTGAGGATTCGACTTCATTGCAGGAGGAGGGACGAATTCTGTACGAACTGAGAGGTTGTAAGGAAATTGTACAGTGTTTTGGGGAAGATATAAGTAATGAAAACAATGAAGATGTCTACGGTCTTCTCCTTGAATACGCATCTGGTGGATCCCTCACCAATTTGATCAAGAAATATAAAGGAAACATGCCAGAATCTCTAGTTGCATGTTATTCTTACATGCTTCTCAAGGGCCTCTGTCACGTTCACGAAGAAGGGTTTGTTCATTGTGACATGAAACCTACCAATATCCTCGTATTTCCCAGCCAAGATGGTACTGACGTACACAATGTCAAGATAGCAGATTTTGGTGCAGCCAAGAAAATTGGAGAAGAGGAAATCTTGACTCCTGGGAGTGATAGTTATCACCGAGGAACTCTACTCTATGCGTCCCCAGAATCAGTAGCATCGGGGCTACACATTCCAGCCACTGATATTTGGTCTCTTGGTTGCATTATCGTGGAGATGATCACGGGAAGAAGCCTTTGGACGGGTCGGAGAAAAGATTTGATTAAGAAGATTTGCTTCCATGATATAAAAATACCCGAAAAAATTTCTGGCAATGCCCGACATTTCTTGAAAATGTGCTTGGCAAAGGAACACAAGAAGAGATGGACGGCCAACATGCTATTGAATCATCCATTTATTGTCAAGAATTTGGCAGCATTGCCTCCCAATTTTAACGATCGAGTGATGCTCTCTCTGACTAATCCCTTTGGGAGAGATACGTGGGTTTCTACTTACGACGTATTTTCCACTCCATCGGATCCTGGGGAACCTGCCGATTTAGGGCTTGTTTGGAATAGCTTAATAAGTTGTTAAAAAGTTGAGGTCAAAAATCTCCTCATGTATATTCATGAATATATGTGTTTTTTCCTTTGTTCTATTGAAAGAAAAATTAGAAAAGAACTGCATGAGTTGAAGTACAACGCAACGTTGGCTATATTTTCGAAATTCATGACATGATCTAGTACGAATTTTCTTTTGATATTTGTTCGAGAATTGTAATCTTAATCGATTTGTTTATTTTACAGTATTATTAGGAAGAGAGAGAGAGAGGAAAAAATTAACTTACTTTATAATTTTATTTGAAATAAATTATCAACTAATTATATATAGAGACATGCTATGTGTACATAGGTGTACACATAGAGATTGATATAATGTGAATGGTGTGGGACCCATGCTATGATAGAAGTGTATGCAAGTTCATCATATTCTTCTTTTCGTGCTTTTGTAACATTTTTCGAAAATTTGCCATCAATGGCTTTTGAAACTTTTTGTTGGACTAAAATACCCTTCATCTTTTGTTGCCAAATTGAAAAATCATGTTTTCCGTTGAAAATTCCAATTTCGAAATGTGACGACATTTTAAAAAACAGAACAACCAAAATTGCACAAATATGTCACACAAAGTAATCCTTAGATAGTAATATACACCGTTCTAGATTCTCAAGGTTTCATGAGACTCAAAATCTTAAATCAAGTGAACATTCGAACGGATCAAGTCCAATGTGTTCTAACAGGATAATCAATGCAACACGAAGATATATAAACAAAAATTCAAAATTTCCACGCAATGTAGTTCCACACAGTGATTAAACAACAATTATAGCACAAGCGCAATTACCAATTTGCAATTAAAACCAACACTTCAAATAGAGCAAATAAATCCTAAAATTCTAGCACAATCAATGGTTACCCCTTCTCGGTAACCCAAATTCTAATATCACCCCACACAATGACGCGTTAATGCTGGAATTTAAACAGGATAAGCCAATTTACCAGAGCGAACCTATCTGAGTCTGTAAATTACGAGAGAAAATTTTAACACTTTAGGGCCACCACTATTCGCCCTAAAGTTTGCAGCAACCAATAGAATGCAACACTGAATCCCGAACGAGAAGGGGTAAAATCGTCCAATTTTTCTTGCTTAACCTGAAACACTAAACCAAAAATATCAATACGTTCAGAAAGTCAAAAATAACAAACTGGCCGAAGGAACCTAGGCCTGGATCAGTCCCAAACGCGTTCATGGCCTTCGCCGTCCCTAGGCGTGGGCCCCTCTTTCACGCACCGGTCAGGCAACACCGCCTCCACTTGCAGAGGCCTCTCGTGGTGTTGGATTCTCCAAAAAGTCACTAGTTTCACCGGAAAAAGCAAAAAGGGTGTCGGGCATATTTGAAGAAAACTGGACAGTCTTCTGGTCAGTTTCTGGGCTTTTTCTGGTCAGATTTGGTTCCTATTTTTCGCCCTAACCTCGCTCTCATACCAAATGTTAGAAAATAGGACTCCAAACACACCAAGAATCGGGCTCAGTTAATCCAAATTGACACCACGAAGTTCAACCTAAATCCCCAACCTCCAAACACCCAAGAAACCGGTTGCTCCAACTATAAAAGTCAGCCCACAAAGGACTTGGTGTTAAGAAGAAAGTAGCCCCAATGTTCAACCACAAAGGTTAGAGAAGGAGGGAGAAAAATGGATCATCAAAGAAAGGCACAAAGCCAAAGCACAAAGCAAACTGGGAATCGATTTCTCTTCTCTCCAAAAACGGTTGACCTCAATTTCACACACTTAGCAACAGTAATGGGCAAGGGATTAAATAGAGGAACTTTAAGTTTAGGCCTTATGTCAAATGATAGGGCCAAGTAGGAAAGGATATAAGTGGGCTAACAAACGTAGACATCCAAGGTCTTTGGGCCTGGGCCGGGCCATGAGCAACCCTAATTAAACTAGGCTACTTCAAATGGTTCAATTAGGTTGTGGGTTTGGTTCGAAATTTTTTGGCGTCGATATTTCACTTCACTCATCGGTCGAGGCCTATGAAATATAATCCAACAAAATCGATTTAACACCATCGCCCGAATTTATTGGTTATCAAAAAACTCAACAACAAGCAACCAACCAACACAAAAATTTAAACTAAACATGTGCAATAAATCAAAGGATGAACAAGGTTTCATCGCATTCCTAGAAGTTTAGCCTAACATGGTTGATTATAAAAATACACGATAATTGATCTAAACATAACCCAAATAATTTGAGAGAAAAATTGAGTACAACCCCGAAACTTAAATATCTTCAGTGATCTTGAGTGGCACCTTCTTCTACCTCAAACACCCCAAGCCTTGAGAGAATTCTTGTAATTTTTGTTCGGAGATATGTTCTCTGATGATGATGTATATGGTGTTAATGAGGCGTCCCGGTATATATAAGCCCTTAAATCCCCAAGTACAAGATACTTAGATTGCAAAAGTTGGTTTCCTAATTTAGCCCATGTTTTAGCCACATTTCCTAAGTTTATTTTTTCCCCAAACTCATTTTGAATCACGTATTCTCCCAACAGAATAATATTAAACATAAACCTAAAGCTTTTACTTACTATTTAACAACACATTCTCCAAAAATATTATTATTACAAAATCTATTTTCCCCAACAAGGGGCTCAAACATGGGCTTAATTGGAAAATTCTAGTAGTGCCACCCATGCACCAATGGGGTGGCGCATACAACTACGGTGTACGCGCCAGCACTTTGGTGCCAAATCATACAACTACTTGCAATTTCTAATAAGTTGGCCCTCACCATAATCATACATGTTAGGTCTATTCTACTTTGATGATCTCATTTCCTACGCACATAACTTTTAATCCACTACTCCGAAATACACATTGAACGCTAAGTTTAACTATTATTTTGATAATACATCATTTTTTTCTTTGGAGATCTTTGTACTAAATTATATGCTCTAATTTTTTAACATGCTCGTACGTAGATTCCTTGTTTTGCTTATTTTGATCCTTTGAATGCCCAAAATCACTTTTTTTGCTTCAATCATCCTTAAAATGGGGTTTAATCGTACAAAAATAAAATAAAATATCCAAATAAAACATAGTTTTAGAATCTATAGAAACGTGTAAGATACACTTATCAGACTGAGGCTGAAAGAAGGACGGCAACCAAAACGTGTTTTAAGGGGGAAAGCACTCTCCTAGTTTCAATGGGGGAAAAACTTCTGAAATTGAGAAATTTGAAAATTTTAAAGCATGTTCTACACTATACCATACATATACAACCAGAAGTTCATGATAGAGTGCATGTATATGTTAATGTATGTTGTTACTCCTCGCCTCTAAGGCCCAGTGAAATGAAGCCATGTGGCACGACACATGGGCAGACGGTCAACAAGAAAGTCAAAATGAAGACCCAGTAGATCAAATACACCAATAAGACAAACAGGCCGAGGTCCTTACACAAACGTCCGAAGCTCTCACATATCCTGATAAAGTCCAGTCTGAGGCACTTCTTCAAAGACGAAGCTCAAATCCATCCGATGTTCTCCTCAACTCCTCTGAAGCCCATTAAGCCGGTGTTATCTCTTGTAATAGATTTAAGGATCTACTAGAAGTGGGTGATATAACACTTGTAATAAAGTTGTCAGTGTGTCGCCTACTGTATAGGATGGTTGACCTCTTATCAATGTATTAATTGTAATGAATAGACGGTGATGTGAAGCCTTGGTTAGGGAGATGAGTCCACATGGTTCCGATCCAACGGTCACCACGTCGGCCAAGGCAGTATAAATATGTCTTCTCTGTAATGAAAATGGGGATGAGAAAATAGAAATAAAAAAGATCATACATTCTGAATATACACATGAACTCAGAAAAAGGAAATGTTTTACACTTCATCTATCATTCCACATATTCCTACTTTGTTATTACATAAGTCAATTTGGTTTCCGTCCGGCAATCGTTGTAGTGCGATTGCCTTCATCCAACCCGTCGAAGTTTGAACATTTTTGTTTCTCGTCGCAAAGTACCTCCCTCGTCCATTTCCTTATCGCTATCATTATCATTTCGATAGGAACGCACCAGAATCGTACTTGACTTGGCGAGAGTGGCCCGGCATCCGTTGATTTATTTTTTGGGGTCAACATATGTATTGAATGGGAATCAAATTATCTTATTTTCGAGCTTACATGACTTTATATTTCGTTGCTAATTTATAGACTTGATTAGGGCTTGTTATGGATTGAGATTCTAGGTTACTATCTAGTATTATATTTTGGGGATGTATTGGCATGTTCATATAGTTAGTAGTCTAAATGCATATTATATGCAAATGGAAAAGGATATTTATTGAATTGGTTAATTCAATATTCCCAAAAAAAAAAAATTGGTTAATCCATAAGAAATACATTTCTTTCATAAATTTGTGATAATGAAAAAATAAAAAATAATACATTAAAACTTGATTTAATAGCGTTTAAGTTACAATTTCTATTTTAAGATCCAATTTCAAAAATCAGATATAAAGTTTATTTGTACAAAAATCAGATATTAATTCAAATATTTAATATTATTAATACCACCAAAATTCATCACAATCCCTAATTACCAAATTTAATCCAAATCCTAACATTTTCTTTCTCTATCTTCATCTTCCATCTTCCCCTTCTTTCACACTGGTTGGTTACCTCTATCCTTTTTTCTCTATTATTATTGCCGTCGAAAGATTACCACCGGAAGATCACAACCGAGCAGCACTCACAACGGTACTCACACTACTGCTTCGCAACACTGCTATGTAGTGAACATATCCTGCGTGTGACGGTGCCGATGGAGCAGCATCGCGATGCTGCCTCGCTGAAGCTTCACTGTATGTTGCAACGCAAGTTTGCAGCAGCCGACACTCGTGTTGATAGCAACACCGCGAGCACTAGCATCCGGCTATTGCGAACGGTAGAGTCTCTCGATGTTGGTAATGGTAGAGTTGCCTAGTGCTATGAACTATAGAGTTGCCCAGCAGCGTTGCCC